TTGAAAGATATGTTAGCCCCATGATCTTGTTATTGTATTACGGCTTGCATGATTCTGCCTCATGTCCCACTGATATTAGTAATGAGTTAGGGTCATCGAGTCTATTGTTGTTTCTACGGCTTGCATGATTCTGCCTCATGCCCCACTGGTCATAGCGATAGATGAGATCTAACATGTTCATTAGATTTATCTTTATTAAGTGGTTGAGTGGTGATGAATTGTTTCTTCATATAAAAAGGGGTTCGGTTACTTGTAATCATTGGCTTAGTATAAACCAATCATTGTTGATATCTTATTGCCATTGATTAATATTTGCTCAAATAACATTTATCCTGAATGATAACCGATTCTTCTTACACAACCTCATGAGCTTTAACTGATTTATTCTTATGAATATGCTGGAATCGACTATTTAGTCGATCTCCTCTCATATCGGCTCTCAGAGCCGCACATTCGGGACTGTCTGGCAACACCGGCACGTTCCGCCCTTAATTACTGATAAGCTTTCTCTCCTTGTCAATTGCAGGGTCAAATTGACTGGCACGTCTCGGGAGGATTGTGCAGGATCGACCACCCCCGTGCTGAAGCTAGGCGGATCTGCTCCATCGAGCGGACCCTTCCGGCTTGCTGCGTGTGTCCTCGGCACGGAGGCGAGAATTCTGTGTCGACAGAAACAAACCGGGATTTCCAAAATAGGAATTCTGACTCTTTTGCCCCTATGTGATAGTCCCAGGTATCTCGGCTATCACGAGCATCCACTTTTCAGCTGATTACAAGTCATACAACAAAAATAAGCCTAATACATTAAACTAGATACAAGCCCTCTAGGCTAAACCAAACAAAACACTGATAAACTAGTTGTAGCAGTGAAGCTTGGCGAATCTCTAATCCACGGGCATCCTTGAGAGTAGATCGCAATCCAACTACTAATCTCAACATCACTGCAAGTCAGGAAATCTGCACACCGCCAGATGTGTGCAGGCCATGGTCAGCACCAATGAGCTTTAGTGGAAAATAGAAAATAAAGGGGATCTGGCGATCCTAGTAGTTTAGCTGTGGTTTGCATCCTTAGCGCATGTAGAATAGCATCAAATATAAATATAAGTGTCTCATCCCAACCACCCATCCATCCCATCCCATATCAAACACAGTCACACCACACTCTCACATATCACCACCACACTCTCTAGGCGACAAGGACAACTCCCACTCATCCTTGCCTCAACGGCCTTAGGCCAGATCCTTATCCAAACCTAGGGGAGAGAGAAAGGACACATCTCACTAATCAAGGGAAGCGTAGAACATAGGAACATCCATGACCGTAGACACGGCTATACGTATAGACTGATCAACTCTGCAGAGCATGTACACCTAGAACCACAAGATCGCCATCATCGACGCTGATCATTGTCTATGCTGATGCCAGGCTACCCTCTAATCGGTACGATGCCACCCTACCACTCAGCCTTGGGGCACGCCGGATTCCACCGGCACACTGAGATTGTGAGACGTAGTACCGGGCCACCAAGGTTACCACGCTGTCTTAGGAGGGTGTGGTCTGCCAGCTTGTACCTCCCTACACTATCCGCTTCCAACCTAATAGTAGTGGCATTGCCCTAGCTAGATGGCATGCCATTTCCCGCCCATCAGGAATGAGTGGTGTGCACAAAGGGTCCTATGAGCCGGTTCTCTCGACATACCAGTCCTTAGGGGAACCAGACAAGACATCTTCTCAAAGGGGATAACCAGCACCCCGTGCCTCGATGGCACCTCCTTCCTAGGGGCTCGCCCAGCGAGGCGTCCCGCGAACTACTCATCTCTCATGTACCCGCCACAGGTACCTCTCATAGAGGATGCCTAGGTCACACCTTCTCGGCAAGACTTGTCCAAAGACTCATCGTAGATCCTGCCTGGTCGACTCGACCCTCACCACTCACCCAAAACACATACTAGAATCTCACATCCACGATATATCCATAGCATCCACACACATCACATATCAAGGATTATATGTATGTGTGATGGAGTATATGCAAGCAAGCAGGTAGGTAATATAATAGTGCGAGCGCGGAGCTGGGTGATTGTGGTGAAGTGGTTTCAATCAAGGCAATCATGGCTCAGGCAATAGCATGCATCACATAATCTAGCAAATAAGTAAAAGTAAAGCGCTAGCAGTTCTATTTGTGATGCCTAATAGGATCTTCTAAGATAGGGTGCTGCCATGACACCTGCGACATCGAGGAAGTAGTGGTATGCGTCTCTGGAAGTCGGGGGCATCCACCATCGGGGTCCATCTCCTCCGGGAGCGTCATTGGATCCATCCGAGCTCGAGTCGTCCCTACGCGAAGAAAATGCCGAGAACGGCCACCAAAAAGAAGCAATAAAACCACAACTAAAACTAACTCAAAAAGACACAAGAGCTGCACTAGAAGTTAGGTTAGGATTTTAGAAAAATTATGAAACTGGTTTCATAAATTTTGGAGTTGGGATGAATTTACTATGAATTTTTGAAGGTGGCAAGGTTTTATGAAAAAGGAAAAGGGCAGGGATTCGGCTGGGCCTGCTCTTGTTCTGGTAGCCCAACAGCAAGGGGGGAGGGAGCTCCCGCTCGGGCGTAAACCGAGCTGGGCTTGGAGCCGTTGATGGGCCAGTCGGCCACTTGGGTCCGATCCAGAAGCTGGGAAAGGGAGAGGCATCGGCTGGGCTTGGCTTTGGCGCTTTGCTACTGGGCCAAGGCCCCGAATTGTCCCAACAGTCCAGATTGGTTGGGCTCTACACATCAGAACTCGAAGGCTCGGAGCAGCATAGCTCACGCCGGCTAGCTGCTCGACGTTTAAGGTCCAAAAATTTTGTTTGAAGTTTTTATATTTTGAAATTCCAAATTTTCTAATTGTTCGAATGAACTTAGATGGAAAAATAACCCAAATCTAAGTTGCAGATCTCAATACGATAGATTATTTTTAGAAAAAATTGGTACCGAAGTTTAATTTATGATAATTTTAAAACTTCTTTCATGATTAAAATACAATAAAGTGTAGATAAATACTTTAATACATATAAATATTTATCAATAAGTAAATTTACTGTATAAAAGATTTCATAAATACCTAAAGAATAAAGTACTTGTTTTTGGCCTCTCATCGTTCGCTTTTGTCTCAACCGTCAAAACCATTCAATTTTGACACCGAGGCAACTTTGAGTGGTTTTGAGATGGCTCTAATATCAAAATTAAACGGTTTTGATAGCTGAGATGCACAAATTAGACGGTTTTGTAGTTGAGGGTTAAAATCAAATAAAGGAAAGAGTAGAGGGGCCAAAAATGGACTTAATCCATTCTTTTGACTGCACAATTCTAAATCTTATATTATATATTTGATAGTCTAAATGATGTGAAATAAAAAATTGTTAACTGCAAAGTTGTACATCTCGTTGAGTACTACAACTTCAATGTGTATTTTGTCTCCATTCGATATTGTTAACCATCTCAAATCCAATATGAGAACTTATATTATATATTTTGACTTGTAAATAATCTCAAATTAAAAAGCTGTTAACAACAACAAAAATGAGATCCGTTTGAACTAAAAATTTTTGATATAAAATTTATCTTGATCTGACGTCATACGAAACTTATGATTTTTTTTTTGTCCGAAACAGCTTATCACTACCGGTTCAAGACACGAACCGGCACTAATAGGTGGCTACCACACTGGCGGACATTGATAGCGTCTTCTATGCTACTGTTGCATTTTGTAATAGATAACACAAGCGTATATATCATAGAAACATTTATGGAGAAAACGAGAGGTTGACCCAGAATGACCCTGGCATGGTTTGTGGTAGACGCTGGGCTCCACCCATAGTCCCACGCGTGTGCGCACTGAGGCCACCCTTTGTCACAAGCTTCAAAATATACATCCACATGAATGCCTTGCAGCTTGGCCCTGACTCCATTCAAATGCTAGATCTACTACTGAGTACTGAGCGACGTGTCTTGGGAGATTCGTGTTATACCTACGGACAAACCATAAAAATGAGTACTCAGTGTGACGTAATAGACCAGAAGAGCATAATAATTACATCATCTCTATGAGAGCTCCAATTCAATGTGCGTCGAAATTCAAATGTGGCGGATGCTAATTGGGCATAACACAGAAACAAGAGGACGAGGAAAATAATGAGAGAAATTAGATATTCAAATAATAAGGAAGTAAAAAATGTGGCTTCTGTGTTGCACTGGGCAAGGGTCTGGCAACCTGGACTAGTGTTGCAACAGCCCAGGATTCAGTTGCTAGTCGCCGGCCCAGATGAGCAATCGGCGAGCACACCTGCTCACTAGGACTGTCTCCCATTTCTCTCTGGCTCTACTACTGTCTTATGTGGAACTGGTACATCACATTGAAAAGGCCGGGGAGGCCAAAGTCCACAGGGGGTCAGTCAAACAAGCCCTAAAGAGAGGTCATTTATTCATCGAAGCAAACATTTTACTGGCAGCATATATAGTGCAAAAAAAAAAACCTCCCCCTGCTCATGCCACGCAGCATAGTTTCCAAATATATTCGGGTAATGGAGTATATGTAATCAATATCTCCAAAATGCCTTTACAATACATGAAATTAAAGGGAAAACCGGAAAAGGAACAGAGCTCCACCACTTGCTTGACCACACAGCTTGTGCCGCTCCTCCGTGTACACCAACACAGCGTGGCTGGGGCGGGAGGACACACCAACACAGCCGGCCCTGAGGCGGCTGCTTGTAGACGAGCGCATGCGTTGTTCTCGTGCACATCAAAAGAAGACCATCTGTAGAATATATAATTTGCACCAATTACAGTCTATACTCAGAACAACTACGATACGGGAAAAAAAAACATGCATGCAGCGAACAAGTCATGGGTGCACTAATTAACAGCAGTAGAAGATGCATGCATTCTGTAGAAAAAAAAGGAGTGATCGAGTACGTACATGCAATCAGTAAGGGACACGTAGAATCCAATCCAATCAATCAACCAAAAAAAAATTATAAATATTAACGGAAGGGTGGTCATCCGCCTCTTGCCTCAGCCTCTCTTTCACTTTCATTTCCATCTCCTCGTCGATCTTTTCCTTTCCTTGATAAAGATTGACAGACAACCACCGAAGGGACGGGAGGTGGTCCAAGGCTAGGTCATCCGTAGTAAATTCACCTTGGAAGAAATCCTGCGGGCGGATAGAGAAACTAAACCCTTCAAGCCTGGGCATAGCTCCTCGGGGTAACATAGATGGCACTGTCAGAAAACCATAGAATCTGCAGTCTCTTGCACATGGGAAGGCATCAGGGCCAACCATGAACCTTTCCAGCACTTGTATGTCATCATCATCATCATCCACAATCACTTCCAGAATACGAAGAGCCTGCAGCATCCCGAGGACTTGGATGTCCTCCCTTCGCACCTAGGGCACCGTAATGTCCAGGAAGGATAGGAGGAGAAGCGATCCAGGATTAATCCATGTGGGCAACAAATAACAAGTTTTATCAATAAGAAGAAAGGCCAGGTTGCCTAGGGACTCCAGCGAGCCTTCAAGATTCATCACCCCGCCTTCTGAGCTTTTTATTACTAGACGTCGGATGTTTTGCAGTTTACCTAGGGACTCCACTAAAGCTTCCAAATGCCCTCATCATCACGTCCTGTTTCCTTGCCCAATTTTAGCTCAACACAAAGGCTCCTCAGCTGCGTCAAATGGCCTAGCTCTTCCGCAATGTGCGCAGAATCAACAATTCCACCCCCTAGCACTTCTAAGGATGTAAGATTCCTGAATCCATTTGGCAGACAGATACTACCATTAAGAACCAGACACATCAGTCGTCTTAGCCCAACAATACTCGATGGCAATTCTTTTATACCAGTTTCGCGTAGGTCTAATGTCTGCAAAAACTGTAGCTTCCCTATCTCTAATGGGAGCTCACCAGCATATCTAGTATTCCTTAGCCCTATATACCTCAGGTGAAATAAGTTCCCAATAAAACTCAAATTTGGATGGTCCCCAAGGCTGCATCCTTCTAGATCCAATACTCGAAGATGATGACATGAAAGGCATGGCATCGAATTAATTATGGCATCATTGAAAAGTGACCTTAGTTTTGACATGTTCATTACTGTAGGCCAAGTAGTATTGTGGAGGGACAACCTGTGAACCTTGCTTCCCCAAGAAGGACCGGAAACGGCGACCAGAGGGGGGGGTGAATGGGAGCCTCAAATTTCTTCCGAAATCTTCAACCACTGTCCCAACATCAATCCCCAAAAAGCATTCACGAAAGACTTGATGACCACGACCCTAAAGAAGGGTGGATACTCCCTCAGAACACGACGGGTCACCACAGAGCAAACGGAACAAAGATCGAAGCCCAAACGAGCAAACTCCCAAAAGAAAACAGCACTGCTCCTGCAAATATCGGACACGTCCGGTATTATATCGGACACGTCCGGTATTTTCGGACACGTCCGGTATGATCTCGGACACGTCCGGTATTTTCAGCAGCAAGCTGACCAAAAGAGAAAAATCCAAAACCCTGTCAAATGGTGTCCAAAAATCATGAAATTTTAACCATAGCCCTTTAGACACCAAGGGAAGGTCTCCACCAAATTTCAGCTCAAAACTCCAAAGTGAGAAATATCGGACACGTCCGGTATCATATCGGACACGTCCGGTATGAACGAGCAGCCGAGAAAAATCAAATCAAGCCATAACTTGATCAAATCAACTCCAAATGACTTGAAACTTTGCATAAGGGTTCACAAGCGAGTAGAAAGGCAACCTCTAAAGGATCATGGCCCGAAACAAACTCTAACTCCGTGAATCGAAGGAATTGAAGAATCCCCAAAGAAATAGGTCAAGAACTTAAATTGCTCGGATCTGCGATCTCGTGAGGAATTAGTGGACTTCCTTCGGTGGAAAGCTTCTACTCATGTCATTGATCGATCCAAGGCAACAAGAACGAACCAAAACCATCCCACAACGAAGAAACGAGAGGGAAAATAAGAAGGGACAAAAGGAGCTCGTGAAGAACACCAAAATCACATCAAGAACACAACTAAATCATGAATCCCGGAGGACATACGGTGGTTACGGCCACCGATTCCTTGAAAAACAAGTCACAATTTGAGTTGTGGACCTCTCTCATACATGGAAGCAAACTAGAGGAAGAAACCCTAAAGGAGAAAATGAAAACTAGAGGAGGTGAGGGAGATGGGGGCTCCCTCATCCTATTTAACAGGGCTATTACACATTCCCAGTTTTGCCCCTGGATACAAATGAGTTGAACCGCTAAGCCCAAGGGCGTTGTTGTCCAACCTGGTGTAATCTTGATCCGACGGCCACCGCGCCTTCTCACCGGTAGCTTCGCCTCGACGCGAACTCCCCGATGCCGCCACGTGCCGTCCGTCCCTCCTCGGAACCTCCGCCCGGGTTTTGAGGCCCAAACCCGTAAACCGTCCGCGGGTAGCGTACTCCATACGCGTTCCCCGCCATCCGACGCGTGTCACCGCCGTCCTCGACCAGCCGGCCCGCCAAGTCCTCCCCGCCAAGTCCTCCTGAGCCTCGCTCGACTCACGCGTCCGCCGTCTTGACCCGGTCAACACCGTCACTCCATGTCTTCTTGCACTTGTCGATGTCCCAAGTGTCAGCCACCGCGGCTAGTCACCCGGCCTCTGGGTCCCTCGGTCCAAGCCTCACGTCCGTCCTTCACCGCTCCCGGTCTGTCAGCACGGCACGTCCTCCTTGACCTTCACCTCGCCATCGACCACCGCATCCGAGCTCCACACCTGCACAACACAAGCCAAAAGACATGTCGCACACATAGCTTTCGCCATGGTAGGGTTAGTCACCACTCAACCTACTTCGTGGATCACATTGACAATCACTCATCACAAAGCGAACACACAAGGGTACTTGTCAACCTTGTGTTCGCAATCTCCCCTTGATGAGTGCATTGTCAACACCAATCTACAAACGACTTGAGCAAAAGAAAAGAAGAAGAAGAGAAAGAAAGAACTCACCCAAATGACCAAAAGCCAAAGAAAAGCCAAGAACCGGGTCATTTGAAAATGAGCAAAACTTGGTCCCCAAAGACATGGGCAATGGCTCGACGCAACCAAGTAAAACAAAGCTAGCCCTCAAGAAGAGGCAATGGGCTCAACACCACTAGCAAAGCTCAAAAACCGAAAAGCTGCTAGACCCTCCAGAAGAGGCAAAGGCTCAACACATCTAGCAAAACACCTCAAATGCAACTCCCCCTGAACAAGTGCAATCTCTCTCAAATGAATGCATATCTCTCAACTTTAGGTGAAATTGGAAGTTTGAAATTGGAAGTTTCTTCCCTTGTGTCATTGTGAGTGTGGAAAACTTCTCCCCTTGTTGACACATGCACTTATCAAGCTAGAGCCCAAAGATTGCATCTCCCCCTCAAATCATGCTATGAATGCAGAAATGCACGAATGCAGAAGCTTCAAGATTATAGTAAGTAGATTGAAAAGAGGCTCTAGTTGATGCTGTCATGTATATATAGCAACACATACAAGTGCTAGCAAATGCTCAAAGTGACCAAATGAGACGAAATATGGCATTTAAGCAATTTTGATCAAGTTTGAGCAATTTTAAAAGAGGGTTCACCACCAAAGGAGCACATAGCAAAAGTAGATGCGGAGATTGACCTTGTGCTACACATGTATGCAAAGTGAACTACCCCAAACAAAGTTCACACATCATGTCATGAAACAAACTTGTGGTTTGATCAGATTTTAGATACCAATTGAAATTTATCGAGTCATGCAACTTATTACCCAAGTTTGTCGAGACAAGTAAAAAGGGAGGTTATCTGTACCATCAAAACCTGACTTAGCGACCATGTCAAGCCTATGCCAAAGGCAATCAGAAGCTTAAGACAATGATCTCGGTATCCATTACAGAGCTCAAGTTCACCAATAAGTGCAATTTGAAGCTGTCTCGATACTCTGACATAGGATAGTACTGACCCATCCCGATCTTTTCAATTCACTTAGTTTGTTTTTCAAGTTTTAGCACAAATTCAAGTTTCTCAAGCAAGTGTGTAACTCAAGGTATGAGCCGTAGCAACTAAGCATATATATGAAGCAAAGAAGATCTCGACACATTCTACACATGCTAGTTGCCACAAGTAGTGGTGAACACATTTCATGTTTTAACAAATTTTAATCAAGTTCACAGTTTGGAAAACAAGCTTAGCTCATAACATGCATCAATTGATCAAAAGGAGCCTAAGTCAATAGCACATCATGTATATCCATAACATCCCCAACAAGAGCATAGTGTCAATCTAGCTACTATAAGGATGAAGCTCAGGATGCAATATGATACATGATGATATGATATGCAAGTATGATGTAAAAATAAAAACAAAAGCTAAACTACAAAGAAAAGCAAAACTAGAATAACACAACCAAAGTTCCCCTCCTCTAAAAAGGGAAACAAACTCCAAGCTCCCCTCGCAAGCGAGCAAACTGGGCTTGGTCAAGTGGTTTGGTGAAGATATCTGCGAGCTGGTTTTGGGTATCAATGTGGTGCAGATCAATATCACCTTTCTCATAGTGGTCACGCAAGAAGTGAAAGCGAACTTCTATGTGCTTTGTCTTTGAGTGAAGGACTGGGTTTTTGGCTACACTTATGGCACTGGTGCTGTCACAAAACAAAGGCACTCGCCTAAACTCTAACCCAAAGTCTCTCAGAGTAGCTATCATCCAAAGCAACTGGGAACAACAAGCAAGTGACCCATAATATACTCAAACTTACGTGGTGGATTGGGCGACGCTAGACCGCTTGAGAAGACCAAGACACAAGAGAAGATCCAAGAAACCGACAAGTCCCAAGTGGACTTCCTCTCAACACGACAACCAAGCATAATCCACATCGAATACCCGCAAAGAGAAAGAGAGGAGGAGGCCGAAAACCAAAGACCAAACTCGGGTGTGAAACGAAGGTACCGAGGATCCGCTTGATAAACAGCGATGAGACGCTTGTGGCGAAGATGAAATCGCGCGCACAAGCAGCATCATGAAGCCCCGGATGTCCGGTCTCGTCGCCGTTAGGTACAAAGAGGACCCGATCATGCTTGGTATTCCTTCCGGTCCACGGCTTCTCCCTCCTTGTCCTCATCCAGTACGTGCCGTCGTGGTTGACATGGGCGTTGAAAGAGGCTTGGCCTCACCCATATCAAATTTCTTGAGCACGTCCTTGGTGTACTTGCCTTGGTGCACGAACGTCCCCTCACGAGTTTGCTTGATTTGCAGCCCGAGGAAGAAAGTCAATTCGCCCATCATGCTCATCTCAAATTCCCTGCTCATAGTATCTGAAAACTTGGCAACAAGAGCATGAGAAGAGCCACCAAAGAT